TTATCAATCATACCTTACTACCGATGTACGATAGAAAAAAGGTAAAAACTACCTATATTAGATATGTTGACGTAGAACCAGTAGCGTAATAAAAAAAAATTGAATCACAGTTTCTGAGATTGAACCCAAACTTGATATTTTTTAAATGTAACACCCTGTATTTTAACGTCAATTTTTTGCATTTCTTTTTCGTGATTACATTGATGAATCATCCTATATTTTTTTAAATTGTATAATCATATTTTTCAAAATGACATGTTTCTACACCCAGTCATTTTTATTGATTTGACATCGGCTGCCTTAGTTACCATGGATCCAATAAACAGAACAAAATCTCCATGAATCCATGGCCTACTATTTAAAAAAGTAAAAAATAACTTTTTTATTAATTTTCATCGATAAGATTAAAAAATATAGGTTGTGATACATCAATGTATTCAGGAAAAGGTATGAAAAGCAATTGACGTTGAGATATACAGGGCTTTTCGTTTCGATCAAATCTCAGAAATGGCAATCCAAAAGTGTTACTAAGCCGCTGAATTCTACGTAACAATATCTAAAATAGCAAGTTTTTATCTTTTTTCTATCTTACATCGGTAGTAAGGTATGATAACATTCCAAAAAGTCAAACTTTTCGTTTTCACCCTGTATTTAAGAAAAAAACGTAGCTAGATTGGTTTGGGGTATTATACGTTACACCAAAAAGTGGCAGAGGGTCGCGAAAACCGCAAGTCTCTGCCTTTAAAAACACTACAATCTCAACCAAAATAGGACACACGGTACAATTAAATTTTATAATTGGCAAACATCGTTATGGGCCGCAGGGTGCAAAACGGCGGGCCGCGTGTTTGACATGCCTGCTCTAAGTAAACGAAATGCAAATGGCGATACTTACGATAAGAAACAAACAACGCAAATTTACAACCTTACTCGGAGTATAGGCGAATCCCATCCAAACTAATTAGTTCGGAATCCCCAAATTATGAAGAACTCAATCGCCAGAGATCAGTATATATGGATGATGGCGATTGAAATTCCATGCGTTCTCCGCTGTTTGATTAGGCAACGTGTACTTTAATAAGGCTTAGGAAAGCAGGAGAAAAATGACAATCGGCAACCAAAAATCACGGCGCGGCCAATCTGCGCGGTTAAAATCGCGTTATTAAATTCCAACAATAGCCGGAGTCAGCCATTAAATTGGTTTAAATTTTACGGAGATCTTTCAATAAATAACAAAACCGTAAGCAATAATAATGTTTTGTAATGGAGAAAATAAATCGCTACAATTTCTCTTGGCTCAGGTGCCAGAGCTATAAGCTACCGACCTGCAAAAGAACGAACTAAATATATAGGAGTAGGCTTCGGATGGACGGACAGAGCAATACTCCGTTGGAAAATGCGCTAAAAAAGTAGCGCGGGTAAAAAAATCTGGTAGTCCTCCACAGAACCACTAAACGTGTTAGATAATGAACTAAATTTTCGAAAATAGGAAAAATGAAGGCTTGAAATGGTTGTGGTTTGTGGTTCTAAATTTGACCGCCGCTTTACATGGACAATGCATTTATACAGGGTGTTTTTTGGGAGCTTTAGTTACACGTTTCTGAGAAAGCGAAATAGGTAGGTTTTTGAAAATTTCTGCAGTTCTTTTGATACACAGTGCACAGAGAAAGAATAGGGCTTAAAAAAAGTTAAGTTGCGTACGACCGCACCTATGTAGATCCAAATTTAAAAAATGTCAAAAACTAAAAACTCCGTTTTTTAAAATGAAATAACCATTTACTTACTATTGCATTAGATAGAGAATCGAAATAGGCATATATTTTGATATTACATGTTCCTATAGCTATCTTTAACAGTTTCTGAGTTATTCTGAATTGATTCCATTTTTTCCGGATTTTCTGTTCAGTAGTAAAGTAGTAGTAGTAAATGTTTTGAAAATTGAGTAAATCGAGCATTAATTTACTCCAAAATATAGGTATATTTCCCGTATTAGTCATAATAATAGTATTTTACATTATTAGCCAGGTAAGTGAGTTTTTACTGGCGATAGGAGAAGTTGACTAGCGAGCCATTAGGCGAGCTTGTCATCTCCTAGAGCCAGTAAAAACTATTACCTGGCGTATAATGTACAATATTTTATTTGTTACTCATTTGTAAACGTAAATAATTAGTTCTTAAATTGATCTTGAAGAAATGTCTAAAATATCATGTTATCCATGTAACAGAGACTTCGCATTAATTCTGGCCAATGAAATTACTAGATTACTAACTTGTAAAATTTTTACAGGTCTGCTGTCAGTTTTACAGGTCTGCTGTCAGTTTTACAAGTCAGTAGCGTTTAAACATGACGTTTACCCGTTTGCGTTTTGTCTTGTTAATCAACGTTTACAACTGAGTAACAAATAAAATATATAACTTTGAAACCCATTTCTATAACTACGAGTACAGTTGTAGTCGTTGTGGTTTGTTTGAACTCGTTCCCATGTTCCAGGAAGTTGGACAAATGTTTTCGGAACTGGATTATCCGTAAAAGGTTAGGATACAATCGATCTATTTTTGGGAAGCAGATTTTCCGAAATTAGCAAGAGTATAATGAAAATGGGTTTTGGTACATTTCAGTAGGGTAAAATGTTGGCACTTTGAACTCGAAACGTCGATTCATTTTCACGATCAACTGTGGGAGTTTTGTACGAAGAAATGTTCAAATTAAGAGTGTCATTTCATTAAAAACTATTCTTCAAACTTCTATACATTAATTAAGAATATTTTGAATTAAATTTCTCACTCGTATTATTTAAAAAATAACGTTTCACTGGGAAAACATTGGCCTTGAAGTAGTAATAATTTGTAAAAAATCTTATGAATTTTTAATTTTATTTGGTTTCGTTCATTCAGTAAAAAATGACAAAGACTAAAATGAGAACTTTCTAAAATTCCAACGATGGGCAGTAGTTTTAATACCAAAAAAAGTTAGTTTTGAATGTGGCATAACCACTTGAAGTGAAACGAACAATTTCAACTTTGGGGGCCAGTACCATAACTGCAAATGTCTGTAATAACACATTTATTTGCTTATTACGTGACCTATTTTTACATTTATATAATAAAGAACCCCATATTTGGTACGTGATATGAGCAGATTTGAAATTAATAGTACATTATATATCAAGGTAGAGAAGTCCACTATTATTGCCTGAGCACCAAGATTACATCTCGAGGCGCTTGCGCCGAAGGGTGTAAGGTGCGAAGGCAATAATAGACTTCTCTACCGTGGTATATATACTATTTTTTTCACTACTAGCACTTGAAATCCTCTAAATTAACATATTATATTGATAGAGAGTTAACGGTTGGACAGAATTGTTTGTTTCTTAATTTAACATGTCAATCAAGTACGTGGAAGTACAAGTCAAACAGGCCGTATTTTGTTCTGTCATTGAGATTTTTCAAAGAGTAATTTCGTTCGAATTTTTTCAAAATGTGATAATTTTAGGTATGTAATTTCTCTTGAAATTGCGAATGGTGGCAATTATTCGTTTTAGAGAACTTGTCTAAACGTTCATTGAGCGAAACTTCGGGTTGTGTTTTCTAAAAGTGACAGCGTGACGGTTCTCATTATTGACTACTAGTTAATAATAAAAAATTATTAACCACTTTGAACAAATGCCGAGAAAGCCTACTTTACAAGTGGAAAAAAGGTTAATAATCATGTCATCAGACGCTAGTAGTGAAAAAAATTACTTTATACTTCACAGTTTTTTTTTTAATTCGTATGCATTTATTCGTTAACAAAGCGCGTTTGCATCATAATTAAATTGTTTTATAATTAAAGGCATGTGAGGAATTTTCTATTGGCGTAGGTACTGTGCATGATTCGAATGTCAGTTATTTCCCTTGGCTCGTTATAAAATTGGTTAACTTTCTGTAACGGTGACGCGGTGCAACTCGCTACATGTAATCGTGCGAAGCTCCTATGGCTGGTTGGTTTGTTCGTGATGGGCTTCGATTAAATTGAGGAAGGACCACTTCCTAAATTTCAAACGTGATATTCACATTATTGTATAATAATATTTCGATTACGTAAACAATTTGCGTTATGTAAAACCATAAAAATCTGAAAATGATAATTTCATTAATTAAAAATTGTTGAGAATATAATTAGTCATGGTGAATAGATAATCTAACATTTTTTTATAACCTATGTCGCGATTATTTATTTATTCAATGTGGATCGTAAAAATCCCGTGTTTTTCACTGTTTTCTCACGCGCTGTTTGTCGCGGCCAAGAGTGAATAGTAATAAAAACGAGCAGGTAAGGCCGTGTTGGATATTTAATTAAATTGCGGTCGTTAGCATTTAAAAAGTAATTAAGAAACAGCCCTTACAAAGATAAGTAAAATAATTTAAAACAGCCTAACAGCAGTCAACAACACATTAGAAAAGTGTCTGGTGCAAAAAAATAAACGAGTTTTAGGTCGTGCCAAAAGTAGGTGTGGTGGTAATAAAAGCGGAGTGCACTGGACCTGGTTGTAAAATACAGAAATGCATAACGAACGATCACCTACGCTTGAAGTTATCAAAACATTGTGTCGAAGGAGATGAGTACTATCTTCCCAGAAAGGCCGCAGGTGCGTTTAGTACATCTTGTAATAAAGCAATAAATCTACATTCCAACGTGTACGTATATTCCGCAATTAAAATTGTTCACTACGAATTGATCCAGAAATGTAATTAACTTGCACGTAGTTATCATTGCAATCTCAACATGGATCACCAAGGTAACAAAAAAACTGATTTTAGTACCTAAAACCTTTCTCTTTTTCCAATTTTATTGCATTAAATATGCATAGCAAATACAAAAGCTCGATAAGGTGCAGTAGCTATTTTCGCTAGTCACGCAAATGCTATTGCATATTTACATAAGCCGCCAGCAAATATATATAGAGTGCTCAATTTTATGAAATATTACAATAATTTTACTCGTTTTTTCTTTGTTTCAGATGCCATTGGTAAGTGGACGCCAGTAATATTCCTGCGGTCTTAAGGTAGGGCTAGATAACGCAAAAACACCATATTAACTTGATCTTTTATCTAAACTACACGTATTTTATTAGATCTAACTGCTGATGGACACGTATTTTACATAGGGAACGGTTAGTACAAAACAAACCTTTACTTTCTTGGTGGAACAGAAAATGCACGAATTTGTATGTCATTATTTAATACGAGGCATATTTTTTTTAACACGCAAACCACAATCGATCAGAAAAGGGCGACGTAATTCACCTAATCGAGCCCTTTTATATTCTCTTTGGATTTCAACGATTTTTACGGCATTATTTGAATTCATTATATCGTTCCGGAAGAGTCGAAAAACCTGTGGCTGTTGAAGTAACACAATGAACAGAAAACCACAAAATTCTCGTATTAAAACGCACGCGTTTCAACAATAATTCTTTCATCATCAGCACAACAGTTGTTGCCGACTTTTTAAATTGAGATACAGGATGTTGTCAAACTTTTAGTGGTACGTATAATAACACTAATAATGGCGAAAATTTCAATTACTGGTTTTAGTGTCTTGTTAGGCTTTCATTGTATCAATAATCGTTACTATTTCGAACGCAAGTTTGTTTAAGGTAACAAGCAGTTGAAAAGCAAAGTCATGAATTTGAAACTATTATGCAAAAAAAAATAAAATCCCACAACTTAGCCCCATTTTCTATTTTTTTAAATTGTCGGTAGCCACATGATGGCCCTACTTTGATTTTTACTTCTGATTTGTGATTTACGAGTGGGACAAGTTTAACGATTAACATGAATTAACGTCAATCACGTTTGAAAAGTTCCTTTTTATATTAATATAACTACATATTAACAAATTAATAATTTTCAACTCGCCTTTTCGACATACAGGGTGTTACACGACCGTTCGAAAAAAAAAATCGGGTTGTAGAGGGCATCAAAACAAGCACTTTTTCCAAATAAACCGAGGGTCCAACGTGGTTCGTTTGGGAGCCACCCCCCAAAGAGTGTTGAAATCTGCATTTCTTCTTTAATTTTTTTCTCAGCAACCATAAGAGTTACAAAGTCGGGTGGCATGTCTTTGAATAGGTTTTTGGGTATGCTCTTTCCGATTTTGCAATTTTTTTTCAAAATTCCTACCCCTAAAGGGCGCACCCCTAAACTAGGGTGCAAAAAAAAATTCTGATTTCGACGAAATTTGGTATCTGGGGTTTTTTAAACATGAAAATCACGAATCTGAAATTAGTTTTTGAAAATTCGAAAAAAAAAGTTCCACTGCAATTCTTGGCGGGACAACGAAAATAGAGATAATTCCACGAAATTTGTTTTGTACATACTAAACGAGTTAAGGAACAAAACTGTCGAACAGTTTTTTAAAATAACTTTTCAAACAAAAGTTATACTCATTTGAATGTTGGTCCTTCGGGTCGCGAAGTGCCCCAAGCCTACTAGTAAGCCATAATTTCGCATGTGTTGGTTGACAATGTCGCAAAAACAAAAGATTAACGGTTTGAGTCGATATTTTGTTATTTGGAATTAATTCGGTCATTAAATGATTAAAAAATTCGATGTATCGATTAAAACACCTACCAAGGTATCTTAAAGCGCTGATTTGTCCTTAAAAGGAGCGTGTTCTTTTGGAAGTTATTTTTCAACCTAAGATTATGAAAATTTTTGATCATAGTGAAAAAGTATCATACGGAAAGTGATTTGACTTTTTCCCCTTCCTTATTTAGATAATAAATAATCGATCAGCGCTTTAAGATACCTTGGTAGGTGTTTTAATCGATACATCGAATTTTTTAATCATTTAATGACCGAATTAATTCCAAAACTGTCGAACAGTTTTTTAAAATAACTTTTGTTTGAAAAGTTATTTTAAAAAACTGTTCGACAGTTTTGTTCCTTAACTCGTTTAGTATGTACACAACAAATTTCGTGGAATTATCTCTATTTTCGTTGTCCCGCCAAGAATTGCAGTGGAACTTTTTTTTCCGAATTTTCAAAAACTAATTTCAGATTCGTGATTTTCATGTTAAAAAACCCCAGATACCAAATTTCGTCGAAATCAGAATTTTTTTTGCACCCTAGTTTAGGGGTGCGCCCTTTAGGGGTAGGAATTTTGAAAAAAAAATTGCAAAATCGGAAAGAGCATACCCAAAAACCTATTCAAAGACATGCCACCCGACTTTGTAACTCTTATGGTTGCTGAGAAAAAAATTAAAGAAGAAATGCAGATTTCAACACTCTTTGGGGGGTGGCTCCCAAACGAAACACGTTGGACCCTCGATTTATTTGGAAAAAGTGCTTGTTTTGATGCCCTCTACAACCCGATTTTTTTTTTTCGAACGGTCGTGTAACACCCTGTATACCAAAGTTTGAAGTGTGCCACGTCAAATGTGAAGTATTACTAGATTTTCAAACGAAAAATGTATCGCTGATATTGACCTGAATTGTGTAAAGTAAAACACATGTTTGTTAACGAAGAGCTGCATAATATGTTTTGAGTGTTAATATAAACGAATAGAAGAAAATGAGACTCAAAAATTTTTTTATTTTTCTATAGGCTATCGATTTCGACTTAAGACGTCATCATCAGGCCGAGCTGGAAGATTTACATTAAATATGAAGCAAACAGAGTAATATAAAATTGTTAGTTGTTGGTTTATATTAATCGGTTTGCTTAATATTTAATGTAAAACTTCCAGATCGGCCTGATGATGACGTCGAAATCGATAGCCGATAGAAAAAATTAAAAAAATTTTCTCTCATTTTCGTCTATTCGTTTATAAAACACATGTTCCTGATGATCCGGTAAAATAGTATTTTATTTCGTACGTAATGTAACATACACATGGAACTATCCAACTTTGCTTCACCAGCAACACCAAAAAAGTATAATATAGCACACGGTAAACTGAGGCAAAGTAGAGGTGGGTCGGGATGAATATCGGGGTTCTTATATACACTAGCAACACGAGGAAAAAGTGAAAAGTAGCAAAAGTAAACCGGATAGGTGTTACTTAGTAACTTTCAAAAGAGAGGAGAGAATACTTACCAAAAGGCGAAACAAAGCCAGACTAAGAGATTCTGGTCTTGAAGTTAAAGAAATAAAATACTTGATAGGGGTAGAAAAACAATAATTGACGTCACAATCAAGGGTGATTTAACTGATCTGAATATTATAAATAGGAAACTGTCATATATAGATTTACGATGTCAACATTTAAATTTAAATTGATCTTAGTCAAAAGGGGGTCAACACGTAGTGAGAGAAAATATTAATATTAAAACAGGCTTCCGCAGAAAACAACGGAGCTATAATCGTTAAGTGAATATCAAGCAAATGTAATAGTTACAATTCGATTGTATCGAAAACCACTATGTAATCAAACGTTATATACAGGAGTTGGCGAAAAATAGAAATTACCTTTCAATTCTGGCCGCAGTGGCCGTCTGAATTCAAAAGGACGCATTCAGTCTAATCTGTAACAGATAACACAAACAAACAAACAAAAGGGATAGTAAATAGCGTGGCTACGTTCCTGATACATCACAGGTCTATGAACAACAAGGGGTTAAACTTATACTTATGTGCGATAACTCGTTGTTGCTTAATTTGGAATACTGGCCTTGGTGTTTGTGGAGTATAGATGGCACTAGTCTTCAGTTTGAGGTTTGAATCATTTTTGTTTAACTTAACTCAAAAACTATACACAGTGATATTTATTAAGGTGTACACATAGGATTTTTCCTGTATTATTTTCTCTGTCTACTTTTAAAAGGCAGTAAAAATATGGTTTAATTTGGCTATTGTTGCTTTGGTTTCCATATTTTTATTTTCGTTCGTGTGCGATGTATTCAACTGAAGAAAAGTTGATATTGTCAATTGATATAGTGCCGGTAACAGTTTAATGAGCGTAAGAGACTTATTTTCTGTGAAGTGTATAGTGGTAAACTAGGCGCCCTTCAGAAGAGTTTTTGTCTTTTAAGAGTAGACATGGGGAAAAACAATACACGTAATTCCCTATGTCTATTTCTTCACAAATATCACTAATTTTTTTTAAAAATTGTGGCTTGACTCGTTGTTGCAGAACACCATCCAAATGATTGAAATACATTTTGGCGGTTAAATATCCTAACCAATAGGACTCTTGACGAATTACCAGATCGCGGATGAATGAAAATTCTCTCTAATTTAGTCGTTTTACAAGGTATGTTCATCCAAATATGTACCATATAGGACTAAAGGTGTTCAGATGATGTAACTGAAAATATGAGTAAATGATAAAGGTTTTCCAAATATAGTCTTGCAGTAGTAATTTACTTGAATAGTAAAATGTTTAGAACTTCATTATACAACTGTGCAGAGTACTACCTGTACTTATATGGTTTTTTAACATGGCGCCTACATTGAACGCATTTTTACTAGTATCATCAATTTCGTTGGGAAAGCGTTCAAACGCATTATTTCAATGCTCAAAAAGTGAATTTGATACATTTCATTGAATGCGCGTTATTTGACTCAATCACCGAGTATAAAAATTTTGAAATTATACGTTAGAGTCTGGAATCGATATACGTGTCCCAGGCTTTGACTTAGTTCATTTATGATAACAAGTACACGTTGTCCTTATGTCAAAATCTCTTTTTACTTTGACTGTCAAATAGGAATCATTTTTAATGTTAACGGTATTGCTAATATAATAACGGGCAGTTAACCACCTCGATCCCATAACCGTAGGTATACCGTTTTAACGTAACGTAAAACGTTCAACAAGTTTATTCAAAATAGACAATATACAAGCTAATAAATATCAGTTTATCATCAATAATATATTTCGCAATGAGACTTTGAGACTAACTGTACTGTCTTGTTGTAGATTGCTGCATCTAACATATTCTTAACGCGTATTTCGCGAGGAGCTGCAAGCCATTATTTATTATGAATAATATGCAAAATTTTCTAGAAAAATTAATTTCG